AGGAGCAACAGGAGGAACTGGAGGCCCTTCCCTCGCGCTCCTGGACCTCTCGGCGGCGAGGCGGCGGCCGCCGCGGGAGAGGGCGGTGAGGGCGGCTCGGACACCAGCGGCGCGGAGGAGGACGGGTACGCCCCGCGCGCGCGCGAGCGTCTGCGCCTCCGTTGGGGCGCGCAGGCCAGGAGGAGGAGGGAGGAGGAGGAGGAGGAGGAGGAGGAGGAGGGAGGAGGAGGAGGAGGAGGAGGAGGAGGAGGAGGAGGAGCTTCGGGGGCGTCCGCGGGCGGGCCGCCACGGGAGAGGGCGGTGAGGGCGGCTCGGACACCAGCGGCGCGGAGGCGGACGGGTACGCCTCGCGCGCGCGCGCGAGCGTCTGCGCCTCCGTTGGGGCGCGCAGGCCGGCCTGCGGCTGGAGGGCCCAGTATTGCTATGCTCGGCTGCACGTAAGAGTGACCTCTCGCCAGAGTGGCCTCTGGTGCGGGCACAATGGGGTCCCCGGATCACCGATTGCGATGCGATCGTAGCGTCCTGCGCGCCTGAGTTTGGTCCCCCCGCGGCCCCCCCAAAGCCGCGCACCAAAGATCACTCTTACCCAGGGTCACTCTTGCGTGTAGCCGATATGCACACTTGCAGAGATCAGCGGGCGAAGAACGGCTTGAAAGAAACATTTCCGCCCTCGTGGATGCCTGACCCAGGGCGGCTGGGAGGTTGGTACCCTTAACGGTGGCACGTCAGGGTATAAGCTTTATTCTTACACACGTACGGTGGCACGTCAGAGTTTATACCCTTAGGGCGAACAAGTTCATTTTATGCCGCTTTTCGCCCGCTAAAGAGATGCCGAGCACTCTATTTGGATCCTCGTTTCGCGGGCCTTCACGGGGTCCACCTAATGGAACTGTTTTGATTCCTTTTCGGCTCCAGTTCGACTCTGGCTCGGCTCAAGTTCGACTCAAGTTCGACTCAAGTCGACGGACGTTCGATGCGGCATCGACGGATGACTCGGTGGCGAGTCCGGGCAGAAGTGAGAAGGGGCGGGGCTTCTCAGAAGGATAGGACGGCCTCGGGCCTTCTGAGCAGTTTTCTAAGCCTTCCCCGAAGACGCAACAACACTTCTCAGGAAGACGGAGAAGTCCGCCGCCTTCTAGGAAGGCCTTCCCTGTCTCACTTCCCCCTCGGGCTCGCAGCCCAACGATGCCGAGCGCGCTTTGCACCTGCGGCGCTATCTTGGGGTCCCGCTTGAGTCCGCCAAGGAGCGTCTGAGAAAGATCAGGTTCAAAGCGGCCTCTGGAACCACGCTGGGGAGGAGGGGGACGCGAGGGGCAGTCTGGGTCTGGGGGTGATGCTTCCTTGGGGCGCGGAGGCTGGTCCTCGACTGGAGGACCGCCTCTGGAGTTTTGTAGGCTGGAAGGGGGGGGGGTGGAGGCCACAATTCATAGTTCTTAGAGCAGCCTCTGGAGTTTCATAGTTTCATATATTCATAGGCGGCAATGTGGGGGTGACGCATGCGTGCATTCACATGGTCGACGCAAAAATTCGGGGTCTACTGCGCTGACATTGACGCGTAAGCTGCCCGCGTAAGGTCGTGCGTGAGCGACCTGGTCTTCAATGTAGCGTGCCGCGCTGGCGGCCCGCGTAAGCCGCCCTTCGTATTGTCGCTTACATGGGCGGTGGCCGAACTCTCGACCGACTTGGGTCACGTTGGCGACGCCGGGGTCGGCGTTTCTGGGGAACGCGCTGGCTTCGCCCAGATCTGGGGCCCGAGACCCCCGTGTTCGTCGCCTTCGCCTCCGCGAACCTTGCCGACGTCGAGACCGTATGCCCGCGCACACATGCACATGTATACATATATATATACACATACATGTATGTATTTTCGTGTATCTGATTTACTATACATATACATATTCGTATGCATATACGTGTGTGTATATATATATATGAATATATGCATGCATATATATATATAATGTAAATATCTGTGTTTATAAAATTTTACATGTTAGGCAGCGTGGACCCAAGTAGTCTGTTTCTAGAAACATTTGTCGTACAAGCTATGTGCAGCAATCTATATGGTGCACCCTGTGTGGTGCAATCTAGGTGGTGCATTTGTTTGTTGTGCAATCTATGTTGTGCAATATATGACGCAAGCTTTTTTTGGCGAGGTGATTTTCTCGTTGTATCTGTTATAGTATGTATATATAAAATAGGTATAACGTTCTTGTTTCGCAGCCATTCATTCGATCTATTCAGGACGGTCGATTTTGAAATCTGTGCGATGCTTTTTTGGGGGACAAATTTTGGCATGCGCGCGTGACGACGACCGCGTGTGCAATTCGTCCCGTTCTTTGCAAAAGGGTTATTGAAAACTAGTTTTTGGTGTGCGGAATATGATGTGTGGTTGGCGATACCAGCCTGCTTGTGGAGGTATGGCTTCATATTCAGGATTGACATTGGTGCAGGAAAAATTGTACATTGCAATACGACGAGGGGGGCCGTTAATTCTGGGGTGGGGGGTGGGGGGTGGGGAGTAGATCCTATTATTATTTTTGGTACGAAGCTCTACGTCGTGCTATATATGTTGTGCAAACTATATGGTGCAATCCATGTGATGCAATTAAATTTTGTTTGCAGTGAGTTGTCTACTCCACTGTTCGCGCAATCGTCCCACCCACCAGCCCACAACTTGGTTTGCGTAAGCCCATGCGGCAGCGATTGCGATGAGTGCTTGGTGTTGGCTGGTGCATCTCTGCGGCCGCGCCAACCCGCGCATGCTCGCGCGCAGCGGCCAGCTAGTTTGGCGCGCCCGACGCGGTCGCGGTGGCGCTGACCTCTGTGCACTTCCCAGCGGGCACTTTAGTGCGAATCGGCGATTTGGGCGGGCGCGGTATCATGGCAACGTCGACAATTTTAGACGCGATGATGATGGTAACGATGCTGGTGACGATGATGACCGACGATGACAAGGCCAGTGACGGCGCCGATGCTAATCACGCCGACGACGATGACGGCGCCCTCGCGTCGGTGATGAAGGCTATGGAGGGAGTTCGACGTGCGCGCGGCCGACGTGCGAGAGTGGCCCGCATGATGTTATTTGACACGGATCGTGCCCCCCCAATCCGCGGGCACGGGCGTTCGGGTGATTTCGACTTGCGTCGCGAGGGGCGCGTTTGGCAGATTTTTTAGAACGCAATGATGCAAAACCGTATGTTTTCATATGTTTTCGGGACATTCGACTTTGATATCCTTACGAAGCGTTTGGCTGTTGAGGGATTCCAGCATGCGCGCGCGACGACGCGCGCGTGTGGACTTCGTCCCGTTGATTGCAAGGGTTTCGTGCGACAGCACGCGCGCAAGGGCGTTCGAACGATTCCGACATGCGCTCGCGAGAGGCCCGTTTGGTAACAAATGGTGAAAATGTTGAAAAACATGTTCTTGGTTCTTCTGCAAACGCATTCGCAAGAACCCGAGCGCAGACTTTTTTGGAACATTGTTGTTGCGAAGCCTGGGTGTTTTTTTTTATACGTTTCTGGGGCAGGCGATTTTGACATTTTTTACGACACTTGAGGTTTTGGAAGGATTTCGGCATGCGCGCGCGACGGCGCGCACGTGAGCCTTTTTTGTTGTCTCCTTTCTTGTGCAAAGAAATTTGTAAATTGATGGTTTTTGATAACCGAGTGCGCGCGCATGGTGGTTTTTGTGGTGGATGGGGGGGGTGCCAGTACCGGCCTGCCTGGGATGGTGCGAGTTCATATTTAGGCTGGGCGATGGGACGGAGTCATCTGTAAATTGCAATACGAAAGGTGGACCGTGAATTTTTGGGGAGGGGGAGGGCAGATCCGAGTATTTTCGTAGAAGCGAGAATCTATGTGGTGTGGCGACGGGTCGGCGACGGGGCAGCGATGGTGAGCACGGAGTTGCCAGACCAGGCCCAGACGATTGGCGTCTACGGGGCGGCGGCGGCGGCGACGTAGCCGCCAGACCCACACGGCGACGGGGCCGCGACGGTGGCGACACACCCGCCGTACCAACACCAGTCCCAGATTTTTAAAAAACAATTAGAAGCCCCCACATGCCAACACTGTATTGGGTGCAAGCGTGCATATACACACATCTGAACATCTATGCGTGTACACATGTACACATGTACACATATATATATATATATATACACGTAGAACTATGTGTATATAAGTACATGTTTGCATACATACATCTTTGTGTATATGTATGTATGTATGTATGCATGCATGCATGTACGTATGTATGTATGTATGCATGCATGCATGCATGCATGTATATGTATGTGCATATGTGTATGTACATGTATAGTTGTACAACTGAAGAGAGGCGCAAATGGAAATAGAGAGAAAGAGAGAGAGAGAGAGAGAGAGAGAAAGACAAGGAGAAAGAGATAGAGAGAGTTGGCGGCCGTGGCCGATGCTTTGTTGGGTCAACCGCAGCTCCTGTCCTCTTGTGCCTGGCTCTGCTTTCGCCCCCCTTCCTCACGATCGCTCGGTGCACCAAGTGCGCCCTCGAGGGCGCGAAGTTACTCCCGCTTCGTGCTTCGCGGTTCGGCTTCGCTTCCTCCTCATCCTCATCTCCTCTCCTGGGGGGTGGCGCGAGAGCGCGAAGTTATTCGCGCTTTGCGCTTCGCGCTTCGCGCAGGTGTGAAGCGCGAAGTTTGGTTCCCTTGGTGCATCTGAGGTGGGTCGGCTCGGTGCAGCACCCGCGCGGGGCCTCTTTGCTCTCGCCGCCCTCCTCGCGAAGGAATCCTTCGGTGCGCAGGGAGACGGCAGTGGCGGCAGGGCAGCGCCCGTCTGGCTCGGTAGGGGGATGGTGCTTCTTAGAAGGCGTGGGCCTTGTCTGTAGGCTTGTAGATGTAGGGTCAGCGCCTTCTAAGAAGCATCCCTCTTTTGAGAAGCCTTCCCCCCTCCCACTACCCCTACCCCCTGTGCGCGCCGTCAAGAGGAAGCAGTGTGGTCCTGGGTGGAGTGGTCGCAGACCACGCGCAATGGCTGTGCGGCGGCACAGTTTCTGGACAGGATTCTGCCTTGCCCAGATTCGTGGCGACTTCAGGGCAGGAATTTTCGGAAGCGCGCGTCCAGTACCGAGACGAGTGGCGGGCGGCCACCCATACAGCTTCGGCGAGGATCGGTGTTCGTGAGAGCTGTTTTGATTTCGGACCCCGATAGTAAGCAGCGTAACATGTAAAGTGTGAGGAAGCAGTGTGGTCCTGGGTCCGCAGCATCGTTTTAAAGGGGTGAGCGCACTGTTCCTGTCTTGGACCGTCCTGGGGCCACGTTGGGGCCGTCCTGGGAGGCTCGTGTGGCCGTCTTGGGGCCCTCTTAGGGTTCCTTTGTGGGCCATGCCGAGGCCATCTTGAGGCCCCAAAGGCCCATCGGAAACGAACTGGCGAGGAGGCGTTCGCGCATTTGAGCCTCCCGGGGGCCTCCTGGAAGGCGCCGTGCCTAGTCGGAGCCGTCTTGAGGCGGTCTTGGGGCCTCTTGGACGCATCTTGACAGCCATCTATCTAGAGCTGTCTTTGGTTATCTTGTACCGTCTTGGAAGCCATCTGCGGGCATCTGGGGCCATCTTGCGGCCATCCTTGGGGCCGTATTTGGCCATCTTGAGGCTTTCTTGGGCCATCTGGGGGGCATCTTGGGTCGTCTTGGAGGCATTGGAGGCGAAGGGTTGGTACGGCCACGGTTGGGTTGGTACGGCTACGCGAGACCTCCTGTCAGCAAGTGCGTGCGGGTGGGTGAAGGATCTCCTCTCGCCTTTCTCCCTTTGTTTCGGCAAGGGTGTCTAGCGAGATGCCAGGAGGAGGAGGAGGAGGAAGAGGAGGAGGAGGGGGAGCGCGCTGCATCTTGGGCACCCCTCAGGACGACAGGCCCGGGCAGGTCAACATATCCTCTGGGAAGAAGCGGCTGCAGCGGCGGCAGGTCACCGCCAAGGCGTGAGCCGCCCCCACCAACGAAGCTTCCTCCCTCCTTCCCTTTCCTTATTTCATCCTCCCCTCATCCCTTCTTTTCTTTCCTCTCCCCCTTCCCCCTACAACTACGCGTTATTGATCGTACTCTCCTCTCTACCCTGACTCTGTCCGGAAGATATTCGGCCCTCTCCGGGTACGGTCGCGGTTGCACACGCGATTTCATTGTTCTGATGTTCTTTGCACTCTGATTGTTTTGGTGGTTGAAATCATGCTTCCGCTAGAGCGGCGGCCTGGTTTCCTTCGGATCAGCGCTTTGCTCCCGTCGTTCAGACTGACGCTCTCGCTCCAGCGCGGGCCGCTTTCTGGATCCCAGCTCTTTTTCGTCCTCGTCGCCCCCCTCCTGTCCCCTCCGCCTTCCCCTGGTTCTGCTCCTCTCGCTCCTCCTGCTCCAGCTCCCGCTGCCTCAGTCTTCTGCTCATCCGCTGCCTCCTCCTCCAATGTGTGCAGCTCCTCTTTCCGACTGCGCTTAACACGATGAAGCCCTCTTTGGAGGCCCAGGTTCGCCATGACGCGTGTCGGCGGACGGAGAAGAAACAGCGCGAAGGGAAGGGATGGGTGGAAGGGGTAGGATGTCAGATATGGAGCGAACGCACCTAGCTTGCCCCCCCCCTCTCTCCTCCACCCCTCCACCCCTCCACCCCTTTCCTTTCTCTTCCCTCCTTCCGAGGAGCCCCTGGCTTGGTTTTGGTACGCGGTGGCACCGGCTCCGAAAACAAGTGGGTGCGACGAGCCATCGGGCTGCTCCTGAGCTGCTCACACGTGGATCCGTTGTCCAAGGCCAGGGCGCCCTCCCCTTCTGCAGGAAAGCAGCCGAGAGCTGGAGCATGAGCAAGGCGAGATTGATGATACACACGATGCTGATGCTGACGATGATGATGATGGTGATTTGGTGGTGGTGGTGGTGGTGGTGATGATGATGATGATGACGATGCTGAAGCTGATGAGGATGAGGATGAGGACACGGATGCGCATGCTGCTGCTGATGATGTCGATGAAGATGATGATGGCGGTGGTGGTGGTGATGATGATGATGATGATGATGATGATGGTGCTGCTGATGGTGATGGTGATGGTGATGATGATGGTGATGATGATGCTGATGCTGCTGCTGTTGCTGATGATGATGATAATGTTGCTGTGGATGTTGGTGATGATGCTGCTGCTGATGATGGTGGTGGTGCTGATGATGATGATGATGATGATGATGATGAGATGACGACGATGACGATCATGCTGATGCTGATGATGCTGCTGACGATAACGATGGTTTTGCTGAGGATCAGGAGATTGACGATGAGCTTGAGGAGGATGGCGGTGAGGTTGATGCGGTTGATGATGGCGATATCGAAAATGATGCTGATGATGCTGCTGCTGATAATGATGTTGATGACGACGATAAACATAATGATGATGATGATGATGATGATGATGATGATGATGATGATGATGATGATGATGCTGATGCTGACGATGATGATGATGATGATGATGATGATGGTGCTGCTGATAAGGATGGTGACGATGATGATGATGGCGATGATGATGCTGATGCTGCTAATGATGATGATGATGATGATGATGATGATGATGATGATGATGATGATCATGATGATGATTGATGATGATGATGATGATGATGATGATGATGATGATGATGATGATGATGATGATGATGGCGATGCTGATGATGATGTTGCTGTGGATGTTGGTGGTGATGCTGATGATGGTGCTGATGCTGGTGATGCAGTTGATGATGGCGATATCGATGATGATGCTGATGATGCTGCTGCTGATAATGATGTTGATGACGACGATAATGATGATGATGATGATGATGATGATGATGATGATGATGATGATGATGATGATGATGATGATGATGATGATGATGATGATGATGATGATGATGATGATGATGATGATGATGATGATGATGATGATGATCATGATGATGATGATGATGATGATGATGATGATGATGATGATGATGATGATGATGATGATAAGGATAATGATGAGGATGAGGATGCTGGGGATGCTGATGATGCTGCTGATGATGCTTCTGATGATGATGATGAGGAGCAGGAGGAGGACGAGGATAATGATGATGATGATGATGATGATGATGATGATGATGATGATGGCGATGTGGCTGATGCGGTTGGTGACGATGATGGTGCCGATTATGATGATGATGACGATGCTGATGGAGGCGATGTTGATGACGATGATGAGGATGATCATGATGATGCTTGATGGCGATGCTGATGATGATGACGATGATGATGATGATGATGATGATGATGATGATGATGATGATGATGATGTTGATGTTGATGCTGATGATCATGATGATGATGACGATGGCGATGATGATGGCGATGATGTTGATGATGCTGATGATGAGGATTATGCTGATCATTAAGAGTATGATGATCTTGATGATGTTGATGATGCTGATGCTGATTCTGATGATGATGATAATGATGATGATGGTGCTGACGATGATTATGCTGCTGCTGATGATGATTACGAAGATGCTGACGTTGCTGCTGCTGATGACGGTGAAGATGATGCTGCTGATGCTGATGATGATGAATAACAAGATGATGATGATGCTGATGATAATGACCATGCTGATGATAATGCTACTGATGATGATGATGATGATGATGGTGGTGATGGTGATGGTGATGGTGATGGTGATGATGCTGATGATGCTGATGATTATTATCATTATTACTAATGCTAGTAGTAGTTAACTATTATTCTCAGTTGTGTGGTAGCGAGGATGGTGATGCTGTTGTTGTAGTTGATCGTGCTGATGATGGTGATGATGATGAGGATGATGATGATGAGGATAATGATCATGATGATCGGGGTGATCATTCTTATGCTTGATGATGTTGATGATGCTTATGCTGATGCTTAAGAGGATGATGATGCTGATTCTGATGATGATGCTGATGATTATTACGAAGATGTTGACGTTGCTGCTGCTGCTGACGGTGATGGTGGTGGTGGTGATGATGATGATTACGATGAGGTGTATGATGCTGATGATGGTGATGATGATAATACTGTTTATTTCAATGGTGATCGTGATGTCGTTTTTGATGTTAGGAATGAAGAACGAAGACACAAGCCAAGAGCGTGGAGCGTGGAGCTATTGTAGCATACACGATCCGCATACCCAACCTTGCAATACTTTTTTCAGTCTCCAGAATGGCGGCGAAAAAATACGACATGGGAAGCCCAACTGGTGACGAGCGTAAGCAAGCTTTCTGCGACTCCCCCTTAGATCGAATGGATGGCGAAGACGTGGATGGCGCTGAGAAGTCACCGAAGTCACCACTCCGGCAGCCAGACTTCAGCCAGGCAGCAGCAGACGGGACTGGAGATGGGGGTTCGACTGATTTCGAGAGCGATGTCCCAGACATGAAGGCCATGATGACGAAGATGGTGGCAATGATGACGAAGATAACGAAGGATATGAGCGCATTGAGGACGGGGGTGGAGGAGGCGAAGGCCAAAGCGCAGCAGGCCCTAGACATAGCAAAGGAGACGGATGCGAAGGTAGTGGAGGTGCAGGGGAGGATGATCACCAGGGACATTGTGCAGAGCATGATCGGCGCACCCATCTCTGAGTTCCAGAAGGCCGCAGTGACCAAGGACGATGTGTATAAGATGGTCGATGAGACTTTGTCCCGGTGTTCGACCCCACGTACGGCGAGGTCAGGGACAGGGTCCTTCACGTCGACAGCAGTTGTCGGCAACCTTCCCATCGCCGACTCGTTTGGTCCGCAGCGCAGGACATGTACTTCAAAACGGCCTTCGAAGGCATCTTTTTCGTCAAGTTCTCCTCGGATGAGTACCGCCATGAGCATTTTGGACATCGTGGAGGGGCGCTCGAAGTCGTACCCGGGCCCCAGCGCGGTGTGGGCGAAGACTGATCCTCCGATTCACTTTCGTACTCAGCACAGCGTGTTGTTCGGGATACGGCGCTTGCTTTTGCAGAGGGGGGAATAGCAACACTTGCGTCAAAGTGGACGCGGAGAGCTCGACGATCCAGGTGGCGGGCACCACAGTAGCGAAGGTCGTGGCCAACGATTTCCAGTTGGAGGTGGAGTGGCTGGACAAGGGCAAGGGCAAAGGGCAAGGGCAAAGGGCCTGCATCCCATTAGGGGGCAGGGCGGTCCGTGTGCAGAGCACGCGTTTCACTCTTCGCTGCTGCCAGCAGTGAGGACGCGACGTGTCGCGAGGGCGATGCGCGTGGCAGTTTTTAATCAAGGTAGGGAGTTGGGACGTACAAGGTCTGACATATTTGAAGCTAACTGAGACTTATTACCTTTATATGGAGGCGGCCGGAATTGACGCGACGTGCTTACAAGAGATACGCAAGCGAGCTCTGACCATTATGTGTCGATGAAGGCAGCGGGTGCCTGGTCATTTTGTCGGGCGCCTCCGACGCTAAGCCAGAATGGGCTGGGGTTGGTTTCGTGGTTTCTCAGTGGATGCGGTTTCGTGTGCAAGGTCATTGGCCGCTGGGCAACGGGATAGCTGCATTGAAGTTGCGCGCGCCCAGTGTCAGATTTATCGCTTGCGCCATATACGTGCCATGCAACGGGCAGGCGACAGAAGAGAAGGTCCGCTTTTATGTATGGTTTCTTGCGCACTAACGCTGAGCGTATCCGCGGTTGCGGCACGCGCGTGTTGCTCGGTGATGAGAGCGCCTGGCTTGGTCGTGGACGGGCCGGGGAGGAATGCATCATGGGCGAGTGCAGTTTTGGGAGTGAGGCGATCAAGCATGTTGAACTTCCAACCAACTCGGGACTTGTTCGTTGATTTCTGCGTGACTTTCGATTTCACGGTGGCAAAGATGTTGGACCTTCCCAACTTCCTTTAATCAACCTTCCATGAGGTAGGCGCCGTGCCGAGCTCGCCAGTCACGGGGGAGACCTTCGACGCCTTGGAGGTGCTGTCCATTCCGGGTGCCAGCAACGAGCTGGGTTTTGTGAAGCGATGTGTTTGCGACGTTGGCATCGGACCATTTTCTTGGTATTGCTACGGCGCTTGGCCAGGCGCTGGAGCCCCGGCAGATCCGGGGAAAGGGCGGCGAAGAAGGAATGGCGGACACTGCGCGCGCCAGAGGCCGGGGCAAATCCCGCGAAGCACATTGGGGCCGCGACCGAGGGAGCGCGCGCAGACGCAATCCTATCGCTGCGCTGGCGCTCGGCTGCGGGGCGAGTGCGGCAGGCAGTGGCTGCGGCGGTTCCCGGCGCCCCGAAGCCTCCGAATAAACCGTGGACCTCGCGAGCGACGCTGTCCATGCCCGCGGAGTTGCGAGAGGCTCGCCGCGCTGGCCATTGGGGGGCGGAGAAGGCCATCCGCCAGCATGCCAAACTGTCGGCAAAGCACGATCGTGCTTCCTGGCTCGTTTCTTACGGCAGACGTCAGTTAGATCTGCGTCAAACAGACTGCCGAGCGATAGCCTTGCCCGCGAGGGCGTCTGCGGGGCACTGGGGGGACGTGCTTGGCCGCGGACGGAAGGGCCGATGCAGTCGCTGAAGATTTGAGCAATGTCCTATGGCATGTTCGTCCCGTCACGCTCACGCCTGGGGCGGATAGTTCGTTGTTCCCGCCGCTGGGCGAGGGTGTTGGCCACTTTGCAGAGCCAGAGCTTCGCGAGGTGATCGCGAAGATGCGATGCGGTAAGGCGCGCAATGCGGATGACATGCCAGCAGAGAAGAGGTGGCCTGGCAGCATGACTGGGTGCTGGACGTGGGTAACGAGCCATGGGGGCGCAAAGACATTCCAGAGGATTGGGCTTTCTCTCGCTCATGTTAGCTGTCTAAGAAGGGCGACCGTGCGTGCTGCGATAACAGCTGGCCACTTTCCCTGCAGTGCGTTGCTTTGCAGGCTTTTCCCGCGATGCTGAAGAGCAGTTTGATGGCTGCAGGCGTGGGTGAACGCATCGGGCACAGTCAGTTTGGCTTCCGGACAGTGCGCTGCGCTGAGCGCGCCATCAGCGTCGCGCGCCGGCGGATCGAGTTGGCGCGCGCGCGCGCGAGAACTGTGCGGTGGCGCTGGTTGCCCTGGGTTGGGAGAAGGCCATTGACGTCGCGCGCGCTGGGGGCATGCTGGACGTACTTCGCTGGATGGGTCTCCCGCCGAGTCAGTCATGGCGCAGGGGAGGTTCGTTGTCAGCGACGACGGAAGTCAGTATCTGGTATCTTCGAGGCTGCGCGCTGAGCCTTCTGCTGACCGTCCTCGTGATGACAGCCTAACTGCGTGGCGCAGTGTCGCTGCCCCCTGTGGCGGCCCGCTGGGCGCGTGACGCAGGCGAGCGGTTTGGCTACGTTTGCGCCGACCGCGCTCCCTTGATTGGTTTTGGGGGCGCGCGCGAGAACGACTTCGTGGCAGCAGTTGCTGCTGCGGGGGAGCGGTATGGCGCGGGGCTGTCCTGGCAGAACATCCGGGTCTTAGCCGTGCAGTGGGCCAAACGCTGGCGCGAACGTGGGCCACGAGGTGGGCCCAAACATCGGGGAAGCTGGGCGTTCTTTCGCGGCTGTGCGCAAGGTGTGGGCCCGCTCATCTTTCGCGTGGAATCGTAAGCTCGGCGTCTATGCTTCCATCGTCGAGTCGAAGTTGTTGCGCGGTCACAACAGCGCGTGCTTCGCGAAAGCGCAGCTGCGTCGCTGCGACGGCTATCAAAATATATGTTTGCGACAGATCGTCGGAATGAAGCCATCGTGCATATCGCGCATTTCCAACCGGGACGTCCTGCCGAGAGCAGGATGCGAGGCGGTCAGCGAGCAGTTTCTCAATCGACAAGTACTGTTCGGCCGAGCATTTCGCGCCGATCCCGCTCATCCGCTCCGCCTTTTTTCTTTCGCCGCCGGCGCGAGGCCTGCCGCGGAGAGGCGCGGGCGGCGAGCGGGCCGCCTGCGCCAGGGGCTCGTTCCCGAAATGCCCGAGCACTCTGCGTGCATGTTCGGCAGCATGACAGCGGCGGCGCAGATGGCCTGCGCCTCAGCACTCTGGGAACGCCGATGCCGACAGCGCATTTTCCATTCGTGCCCGCGTGCGCCCTGCTAGCTGGTCCTACGTGTCCCTTCTTACTGCCTTGTCCTGTCTCTGGCTCTCGGCTGGGCTGCCCCTCTCTCCTCTCCCCCCCGTGTCCTCCCCCTTGCCCGTGTGTCTTGTGTGTCTTCTCCCTCCGTCTCCTTGGCTTCCCCTCCCCGTCTCCTCGTCTCTCTGTCCGTCGTCCCGGTCTGACCTTTCCCGTTGTCCTCCTTTCCTCCCCCCCCCCTCTCGCTCCTCGGCTTCTCGCTTTCTCGCATTCTCGCCGGTCCTGGTTCCTTGCTTTGCCCGCGTTTCTTTGTCGGCCCGCCTCGTGGTCCGTATAAGAGCTCGTTGCATTTTCCGCCTATTTTCGCGCCCACGCACTGCATGGTGTATGGCTTACCAGTTAGTCACGTGATGGCGATGATGCTGATGATGATTGCGATGATGTTGATGACGGTGATGGTGATAATGACGGTGTTGATGAAGGTGGTGATGCTGCTGACGATGATGCTGCTGATGATGGTGGTGATGGTGATGTTCTTGTTGGTGGCGGTGACGATGATGATTTTGATGACGATGACGATGATGTTGATGGTGGTGAATAGGATAGTAATGAGGATGCAGCTGCTGCTGAATATGGTGCTGTAGGCGATGATGATGCGTATAATGATGATGGTGCTGGTGGTGGTGGTGGTGCGGATGAGGATGGTGGTACTGATGATGTTAATGCTGATGATGGCGCTGATGATGCTGAGGATGATGAGGGTGATGATGATGTGATTGTCGCGATATTGCTGATGGTCAAGGGAATGATGGTGATGATGGTGATGATGGTGATGATGCTTATGATGATAATGATTCGGTGACGTCGTCAGAGGAAAACATGACGTAAAGGAACATGATCATGAGGAGGCAGGAAGAGTTAGGAGGAAGAGGAGGGCCGGAGGAGGAGGAGGAAGAAAAGGACAACACACAGGAGGAGGCGGAGGAGGAGGTACCAGGAGGCAGGAATAAACTGGTGTTGGCTGGAGGAGGGATGGAAAGGGATGAGAAGAGGTGATCCCAACCCACATTTCCATTTGCATCCCGTCCCCTCCCCCGCTTTCCCTTTTACCCTTTTCATCCCATGATCCTGCTCCCCATCCTGGTTTTTCATTTTCATTCTTCTCCCCCCCTCCCCCTCCCCCATCCCCTCTTTCCCCTTTGCCCCCCCCTTCCCCCGCCATCCTGGTCTCCCTTCTCCTCACTCTGCTCGTCGTCGTCCACCTCCTTTCTTCCTTTTCTAACCTCATGCCCGTGAGAATAAACACTAGGGGATAATAAAGTTCGGGGTTCAGGGAGAGATAGTAAAAGTAGCCCAGCAGACCTCAGCATAATCTCGAAGTAAGAGATGATCAAGAGGAGACCAAACCGAGCACGTTTTGAGACATCCGTGGCGTTTAGTTTTCATAGAAATATCGTCAACAATGGCTTATCTCGCTGGAATGGAGGAAGCTATATATAAAAAAGAAAAATAAAAATAAAAAGGAATAACACAAAAGAAATGATAGGAGGAGGAGAAGGACGAAGAGAAGAAAAAATCTCGAGTTTCAAATCTATTAGATTTTATTTACAAGCGCTTTATGACAATTGTTTTTTTTGTAAGTGCTCGTGTCGGGTAGCTCATGTGCCTCAATTTCCATGGATAATCAACCCCAGAGATAAAAAAAAGTTCAGGCGAGCGTGGGGACAGAGAGAAATACAAAAGAAGAAGAATACAGTAGAAGAGTAATAAGAAAGAAGAAGAAGAGGATAATAAGAAGATGACGAATAAAGGAAAAATCCAAAGTTCCAATTGCATCAATTTTAAGTTACAAGCGCTTTATGAAAATTGATTTTTTTTAAGTGCTCGTGTAGGGTAGCTCATGTGCTTCATTTTCCATGGATAATCAACCCCAGGGATAAAAAAATTCAGGCGAGCGTGAGGACATATAGAAATATAAAATAAGAAAAGGAAAGTATAATAATAATATTAAAAAGAGAAGAAGAAGATAATAATAAGAAGAGAAGAAGAACGGAAACATGGAAAGTTCCAAATCTATCAATTTTAATTCACAAGCGCTTTATGAGCATTGATTTTTTTAAGTGCTCATGTAGGGTAGCTCATGTGCTCCCCTTTCCATGGATAATCAACCCCAGAGATAAAAAAGTTCAGGCGCGCGCGGGGATAGCAACATCGCTTGATGTTGCTATCTCAACATAGCGTTTCGAGGTGATAATGAAGTTCGGCCTCAGCGCTCGCCGCCCAATTTGAATTTTGTATAGGGCGACGATAATCAACTCTAAACACTGAAGGGGGGGGGGTCCCTTTATTATCATCGGCATGCGGTTATCTCTCTTCCTCAAGTGTCCTCGGCGTTGCCGTATTAGGTCTGGCACGTTCCTGCACCCCCGTGCGAGGAGGCTCGGAAGAACCTGCAGAAACAGCAGAAACAGAAGCCGGCGAGGGCGAACAACCAGAAGAACAAGGAGTTCAGAAGAGCCAAGCACGAGGTCAGAGAGTACCTCGGCTGACCCGCGCGGGTGGCCCGCGGCTTTGGCTCCGAGCATGTCTCCTGTAGCGTAACTGCGCCTCCGCGACTCGGCTACGGACTCCGAGCGGCGACGCGTCTTCGTCCTTTTTCTTTCTTCCTGATTCCTACTTTCCTCCTTCCCTCTTCTCGCTTCCCCATTCCTCCTTCCTTCCCTCCTTCCCTCCATCCCTCCTCTCTCCTCCCTCTTCCCCCCCGCCCCGTTCCCTCTTCCCTCTTCCCTTTTCCCACTTTCTTCTTCCCCCTTCTTCCGCTTCCCTCTTCCCTCCCTTCCGCTTCCCGCTCCCTCTCCATCACACCTTTCTCCTCCTCTTCCTCCTCTTCCTGAAGCTGGGTGGCAGCCGCCCCAAATGGCACCCTATCAGGTTGAGGCACGTCGATGCAGTCTATTGTCGGCACCGGGCCAGCTTTCTTTCCTCTGCGGGACTTCTCTGAACCAGAAGGCTACCGACGATGTGCATGCGGAAGGGTATGGGAGCATTGCCCCAACACATGCGCCAGAGCCCAGCCGGCCAACCCTTGGCGGCGAGCGAGGGGGGGAAGTGAGAAGGAGAAGGCCTTCTCAGAGGGCGGCGGAACTTCTCAGAAACCCTCGCGACTTCCGAAAAGTTTCCCGTGCCTTCCAGGAAGGCTTCGGAAACTTCTGAGAAGGCCGGGGAATTTCCGAGTCGTGGGCGCAGATTTCTTTAAACTGGGAACCAGAGAGCCGTGTCCAGCGGCATGGTGGGCCGTGCAAGCGCTGGCCGAAATCAACCGTGGAGTGCCAGAACTGAGGGCGCTGCGGCGCCACCGCGCCGTCCGTCTCGGGACGGCCTCCGGGCCGACGGAGCGTGTCGTTCGTTCGTGCGCCAAATCCCGAGCTGGTCATCCCGACCGACCCCCCGACCAGCGCGCCCTGCGGCCACCTCCTCCTCCTCCTCCTCCTCCTCCTCCTCCTCCTCCTCCTCCTCCTCCTCCTCCCCGTTCTCTTCTTCCGCCTCCTCCCCCTCCGCCTCCGCCTCCGCCTCCGCCTCCGCCTCCTCCTCCTCCTCCTCCTCCTCCTCCTCCCCGTTCTCTTCTTCCGCCTCCTCCCCCTCCGCCTCCGCCTCCGCCTCCTCCTCCTCCTCCTCCTCCCCTCCCCTCCTCCTCCTCCTCCTCCTCCTCCTCCTCCTCCCCCCCGTTCTCTTCTTCCGCCTCCTCCCCCTCCGCCTCCACCTCCTCCTCCTCCTCCTCCTCCTCCTTCTCCTTCTCCTTCAGCTCCTCCTCCTTCTCCTTCAGCTCCTCCTCCTTGGGCTTGTGCCGCACTGGCCGGCCCGGCCTGCCCGCCGCGTTTTTCTTCTGCGCGGTGCCCGCCGCTGGCGCCCGTCGCTGCGCTGTGGTGGGCGCCCGCCTCCCCAGAGCCAGAGCGAGGGGCTCTCGCAGGAGATCGTTTTCGGGTGCTGCTGGAGGTCGTGAGCACCGCTGCAGTCGGATCAAGCGCGCCGGCCGAGCGTATTGGGAGCTTGCCTTGGAAACAAGTCGGCGGCGAGCGAGGGGGGAAGTGAAAAGGAGAAGGCCTTCTCAGAAGCTGAGAAGTTTTCTGTGTCTTGGGGGAAGGCTTAGGAAACTTTTCAGAAGGCCCAGGGACTTCGGAGTCTTCTGAGAAGTCCCGCCCCCTTTCTCATTTCTCCCCTCTCTCGCCGCCAAACAACGCTGCCCCCCCCCGACCTCCGAACATAGTCGTAGATCTGGGATTCCCCCGCTGTCTCCGGCGCCTTCGCCACCGACGGGCGCCAGCGCAGGGCGGCCACCGCCCGCGCGGGCGCCAGCGCAGGGCGGCGTCGTCGTCGGAGCTGCCGTCTAGACTTGGCCGCGAGAGCGTGGGGCCAAGAGCGCCCTGGTCGTGGCGCGAAGAGTGTGGCCACGGGATCCAAGCGTGTTCGCGATTCGGTCGGTTCGGCTGCGTCGCAGTCGGTTACACTCGGTCGGTTCCGTTCGGTCGATTTTTTTTTGACGTGGCCGCGTCGCTGCGCCTTTTAGGCTGCTTGGGGCCTGTCGATTTTCGGTCGGTTTCGGTTTTGCTGTCGGTTCGGTCGGTTTTCGGTTTTGCTGCTGCCGTGCACGGCCTTGGGAAAGGGGGGCCAAGAGTCGGCGACTACAAATCCTGCAGGAGATCGGCTACATAGTTGATTTACCCCAACATCCCCAGTTAGGCTTGCACAAGGGGTTCTTACTTGGTTAAGCGTTGGTACCATGTATTCTGACATTGCCGGTTGCCCGGAGGTTCCTCGGGTTCCCCGCCCCCAGTGTCTCCTATTGTTACGCTGCCTGTTGCAGGAGGTTCCTCGGGTTCTTCGGGGTCCCCGCCCCCGGTGCCTCCGATTGTTACTTGCCCGTTTCTCGGAGGTTCCTCGGGTTCCCTGGGTTCCTCGGGTTCCCCAGCCCCGGTGCCTCCTATTGTTGCGTTGCCCGTTCCTCGGAGGCTCCTCGGGTTCCACGCGTTCCTCGGGTTCCCCGCCCTGGTGGTTGGTGGTGTGGCAGGCAACGCCAGGCAACGTCAGGCAACGCCAAGCGACGCCAAGCAGATCGACGCAGTGCAGAGCAACGCCAAGCAATGCCAAGTAACGCCAAGCAGCGCCAAGCAATGCCAAGCAACGACGAGCAATGCCATGCAATGCCACGCAATGCCAAGCAATGCCACGCGATGCCAAGGAATGGCAAGCAATGCCAAGGAATGGCAAGCAATGCCAAGCCGTGTCAAGCAATGCCCAGCAACACTAAGCAATGCAAAGCAATGGCAATCAATGCAATATAATGCAAAGCAATGCAATGCCGAGCAACTCTACGCCACGCCGCTTAGGAAGCGCCACGACTGTTCGTAGATCAACGAACATTTGACGTTATCTTCGTAGATTCGACGAGAAGCCATGTTGAGGGTAAGTCAATTCTGTAGTCGATCTGTTGGTGCGGATACGCCAGTGCCAGGGTGTGGTTTGCGACCTGCGCCGTTGGCTCTTGGGGGCCATGATATCTCCCCTGATTTCACGGCGCCTCTTCTTATTGCAGTGCGTCCCCGGCGCCCCTCCCGCCTGGGCCGCGCATGTGCCGCCGGCCATGATTTGCGGGCTCCCCTCGCGCGGCTCCGGAACGAAGGGTCCTGCGCTTGCTCTCCGAGGCACTGTCTCGGCTCGGCGTCTGCACGTATTTCCCCATGCGTGTGTCTCGTCAGGCACGTCTTCGGCCTGTCACTCTCCTGCCGATGCGCCGTCTGGGCGCGGCGCTCGTGCCTGCCTGCCTGCCTCTTGGACGCCCCCTCTCTGGCCGCCCTCGACACGGGGCATAGGCTGCGCCGGGGTGCGGTCTGCGATCGGCGCCGTTGGGGGCCTCTCGGGGGGCACCTCGCTGTCCTCGCCGGGCCTCCGCGGAGGCGCGGCGGAGCACCCCGTCGCGGGCCCACGCCCGCCCCCCTCGGGGTGCGGGGTGCACACGCCGCCCCCCTCGGCAGGCCGCACCCTCCTCGGAGTGGCCTGCCGGAGGCACGGCCCCTCCGTCGGAGAGACCCCCTTCATCGGTGCTGCGGCTCGGTGCAGGGGTCCTGCACAGCGGCCCAGTCCTCGAAGGAGTCCGGCAGGACGGAGGGCCCCCTCCCTCCGAGCCCTCCCCTGATGCTGCGGGTGGCGTGCCGGCCTCTGCCCACGGGCTCCCAGCTCAACCGGCGCCGAGCTTTCAGGAGTCGCCCTCCCAGGGGTGCCCCCGAGGGCGCGAAGCTCTCCGCGCCTGGCGCTTCGCGCTTCGGCTCCGACTTCCTCTTCTCCCCGGGGGGGGGGGGCGCGGCGCGAGGGCGCGAGAGGCGTTCGTGCGCCGCGCTCCGCGCCTCGCGGAGCGCGAAGCGCCAGGCGCCCTAGTCTCCCGCGGCGGCCCTCCGCTCCCGAGGCGGGGCCGCCCCGCCCGCGGCGCCGTCGCTGGCCCGCCCGCGGGCGCGAAGCGGGGGGGCCACTCGCCAAGCCGCTGGGTTCAACGCCCAGGCTGGCCTGGTCGGGGACTGCGCGTCACCGAAAGCACCCCCCACGCGGGGCGCTCGCGGGACGGCAGCCCTGGCTCGGTCGCCGCACCCATTGTTGGGGCGTTGGCGCCCGAGGTCGGGTACACAAGGAAGGTACGCCGAGATTTGCGACGGCTCCCCTGGAGGACGCGCTCCGTGCCACCGTTGGGCGCGAATCGATGGCCGGGCGACAGCTGCCGGCCACGCGCAGAGGGGGGGTCGGGGGAGGGGGAGCGGCGTCTCAGAGGCACCCCTGCCTCGCAGAAGGCGGGCCTTCTCTATAGATGTGAGGCCAGCGTCTTTAAGAAGCAGCCTTCTTTTAAGAAGCCTTCCCCCTACCCCCCTCTGCGCGCCGCCAAAACTGGGGGGGGGCAGCGGGCGCTGCCGAAAAGGGGTCGTCTCGGGCCCCTGAAGGGGCCCATCAGGGCCCAGTTTCGGGCCTGACTCCTCTTCCCCCCAGCAATTCGCGCCCAGCAGCACCGTACTGCCGCATCTTTCTCGGCCTCCCAGGTGGGGTCGAAGTCGCTGGGGTCCGAGTGCCATCCCGCGCCAGCCCCGTGTTGTTGGGTCTCCTGGGTGGGGTCGGAGCAGACGGGGTCGAAGTCGACGGGGTCCGAGTGCCAGCCCGTGCACCACCGTGCTGCTGGGCCTCCCAGGTGGGGTCGGAGCAGATGGGGGCGAAGTCGACGGGGTCCGAGTGCCACCCTGGGCCACCCCGTGCTGCTGGGCCTCCCAGGTGGGGTCGGAGTTTCGTTGAATCGTCGGGGGGTCTCGTCTGTCCCCCGCACCATCGCGGACTCGATGCGGACCAGGCGCGGATTCCGCGCGGATTCGATGCGGCATGGATTCGACGCGGATAGGGACAGGCAAGGTCCTCCAACGATGCAGCACCATCCAAGTACACGGGGTCGACGTGGATGGGGGCCCGCGTGTCACCCCGTGCCACCCCGTGCTGTCAGGCCTCCCCAGTGGGGTCGTAGCAAACAGGGTCGGCGATGTGGCTCGACGTTGAGCACGACTTTCTCCGCGCCGACGTCGTCAACGCATCGGCGATGCATCGACGATGCGGCGTGAGCCTCCGACCCCAGGTGCCTTGACCCCATATGGGAGGACTCTAACAGTCAGCTCCCAGAAGCGGCTCAACGCAAGTTTGTTGCACGTCCGCTGGATTGGACACTCGATCTGTTCGGCAGCTCCAGCCACGCATGCCTCAGTGACGGCAGCGCGTCCACCTCAGGCGTTGTGTGCCAAGCAGTTTTGAGGCTTGCCCCTCGAACGGTGCTCCTCGGTCAGGTCCTGTGGCCAATGTGCCTGCGTGGAGCCATGCGCTCGCGACAGACCATGGTCTGCATCTGTCCGACCTCCTCCTCTCCTTTTTCCGCTCCACTTTCCACTCCCTCTCGTCACCCTTCTCCAGCTTCTTCTCCTTCCCGTCTCCCTGCCCTCCTTCCTCCGCCACGCTGCTCCCGTTTCCCGCCTCCTCCTCTCCCTCCTTCCCCTCTTGCTCCTCCCGCTCTTCATGCTCCCCGGCTCCGGCTTTGGGCTCCGCCTCCCGGTGCCTTTCTTCACGTCCTCCCTGTAGCGTAAGACCCCGCGGCTCCGGCTCCGAGATCGGAAGCCGCCAGGCCGCGACCTCTGAAGCCTCGCGCCAGGCTTCTGGAACGAGGGATGGCGTAGGAGGGAGGGTGTCGGAGGGAGGCGTGGGCAGGGCGTGGAGTAAAGGACGGGGGGACGAAATGGAGGGATGAGGGGAGGGGGGGAGGAAGCCGGACGGGAGGGGCTGCAAGGAGGGGAAGAAATGGATGGAGGGTGTGGTGGGGAGGGATGGGAGGTGCTCGGGAGGGGAGGGAGTCCATGGATTGCATGGAAGGGGGCGGGAGCGGGCAGGGGGAAGTGAACATGGAAGGGAGTGGGACGAAGTGATTGCGTACGTTGGCCAGGTCGCTTGCCGGAGGATAGTCTAGGAGGAACTCCTGGGAATATGACCCCATCGTTCTCGAAGGTCCCAGATGCTACACAGCGATGGCAGCGCTGTTCATCAGTGAAGGAAGAACGATCACAAAATACGCAGGAACAATCTCACGATGTTGACGATTAGTTTGATGACGAGGACGAGGATTTTAAGGACGATGGCGACTATGATGTTGGTGTTGATGTGTGATGATCATGGTGATGATGGAGGTGTGAAAGGGGAACGTTTTTGCCTGTTTCACCCCCCGTGTCTTTTGACCCTGCGATGGCGACAGCCGACCTGGACGGTCAGGAGGATGGAGTGGAAGTGACAGGGAGTGGGGCGTCGAATCGGCGTGGTAGAGTGAGCGTCGCACAGCTGCCAATTCTGTGGGGCTGTGTGCGCCGCGTGGTTGTATCCTGGCTGTGTCCAACTATCCGGCTGGGCCTTTCTCACCGAGCGGATCACATAATGTGAGGATTCGGTGCAGACATGGCAGTCGACATCATCGATCAGCCTTCGCAGCCGTTCTTCATTCGTATCGTTATCATCCTTTTGCCCGCTACTGCTGCTTAACAATGCAGTATCGCGCTGGCGTTGGCAGCATAGTCCTGGGTCCTATCATAGAGACAACCGCATGGGCAACATGATACTGCTTGCCAACGCTGCCGTCCTTGCTTGAATGGCTGTCACCATTATTCATGAGGCGCACGCCATGTAGTAGTAGTAGTAGTAGTAGTAGTAGTAGTAGTAATAGTAGTAGTAGTAGTCGTAGTAGTAGTAGTAGTAGTAGTAGTAGTAGTAGTAGTAGTAGTAGTAGTAGTAGTAGTAGTAGTAGTAGTAGTAGTAGTAGTAGTAGTAGTAGTAGTAGTAGTTCTTGTAGTTAAGTAGTAGTAGTAGTAGTAGTAGTAGTAGTAGTAGTAGT